GAAAAACGAGCAGACAGTATGTCTCATGGCGCCAACATCGCAGAGCGGATTTCGTTCGGAAAACGATCGGATGGGCCTGGAGTGGAGTGTCCTGGGGAACTTCGCTCCGGATTTCGAGGTGAAATTCGTGCGGATTGTTCTGGCCAGGAACGAAGACCAGAGGAAATCCACGCGAAATTCACTCCGCGTTTCGCTCGCCGCCTCGGGCAAACATCCACGCGGAAGTCCACGCAGAAATCCGCTGCAGCACGCCTGCCGGGCCCGGTGCAATGACACCTGCTCCTCCGAAAGACGAGCAGGCAGCGTGTCTGTCATCCGGTGACTGGTGCCGTGCCCCGACCTCCTCCTGCCTCTCCTCGGCACCAGGTGCTGGCTGCCCCGCCCGATCGACGCCTCGCGACCCGACGACGAGATAGTGCCCTCCACGGCCCGGCGCAAGCACGGAGGTGAAGGGGCGCTCCCGGCACTTCCAGGGGCGGTCTCTCTTTTCCTTTCTCTTTTCCTATTCTCTCTCTCTCTCTCGTTTTTTTTTTTTTTTTTTTTTTTTTTTTTTTTTTTTTTTTTTTTTTTTTTTTTTTTTTTTTTTTTTTTTTTTTTTTTTATATCTTCCTCTCTCTCTCTCTTTCTCTCTTTCCTTCTCTCTCTCTCTTTCTTCTCTCTCTCTCTCTCTTTCTCGTCCTCCTCGAACCCCGATCCACCTCCACCTCCCCCCCAAGGATGGTGGCGTATTTCGAGACGTCGGAGCCAAACGTGGCCAAGGCGCCCCCCCCGCGCGAGCCGTCGCCGTCGCCGTCGCCGTCGCCGTTTCCGTCGCCGCTTCCGCCGCCGCCGCCGCCGCCGCCGCCGCCGCCGCCGCCGCCGCCGCCGCCGCCGTCGTCGTCGTCGTCGTCGTCGTCGTCGTCGTCGTCGTCGTCGTCGTCGTCGTCGTCGCCGTCGTCGTCGTCGTCGTCGCCGTCGTCGTCGTCGTCGTCGTCGTCTGTCGTCGTCCCCCACTCCCCTCCGTTCCTCTCCCCCTCCTCCTGGTTTCTCCCTCCTCTCTCCTCTTTCTCCCCGTCCTCCTCCCCCTCCCCCCTTCTCGTCCTCCTCTTCCTCTTCCTCGTCTTCATCTTCTCCTCTCCTTCCAATTACACGTCAGCAGGCTTGGACCCCAGAAATGTGGTATAGCGTACTATGCGGTGCAATATATGTGGTGCAACCTACGTGGTGTAACATACAAGGTGCAAGCTATGTGGTGCCATAGCTGTGGTGTAAGCTATGTGGTGCAGTATACAGGTGGTGCAATATATGTGGAGCAACCTATGCAGTGCAATGTCTGTGGTGCAAACCTATGTGGCTTAAGCATGGTACTGCAATCGACGTGGCAATCGATATGGTGTGAGCTGCGTGGTGCAATCTAAGTGGTGCAACCTATGTGGCTTAAACCGTGTGGTGCATGCAAGGCAGTTCAAACAAATGTCAAGCAGTGCAAAGCAACCCAACGAAAACAATGCACATCCAAGTAAGGCAATGCAGAGGAACGCATAGCAAGACAACGTAACGTAACACACAGCAATGCAAAGCAACGCAAAGCAAATCAAGGCAAACTAACGCAACGCACAGCAACGCAATGCAAAACAACTCAAAGCAACGCAGCGAGCGGCGGCGAGGCGGCGCTGAGGTGGCGACAGCGGCTACACAGCCGCCAGACCAGCACGCAGGCCTAGACGACGGGCGGCGATGGGGCGGCGGCGGGGCGGCGACGGCGGCTACATAGCCGCCAGACTGGGACGCAGGCCCAGCTCCGTGGAAAACAAGTAAGATCCCTTAAGCGCAAGCCCTGTTAGGGGAACACCATGTGGCGCGCCTCTCATTAATGTATGTTCTATTGTGCTGTTAAGAGGCGCAGATCTAGTCAGATTTTTTGTCTGAAGTGTTTGCTTCCCAATCAGAGCGTTTTCGGTCTTTTCAATCTGGCGCTCCCGCTGCAGCGTGGGCATCTTTTCGGGATCGGCGCTTTGCTCCCGTCGTTCAGAGTGTCGCCCTTGCCCATGCGCGGGCCAGTTTTCTTCGATTCGAGTCCCTCCTCACCGTTGTCGCCCCCTCCTTTGCCTTCCTCCGCCTTCCCCTGGTCCTCCTGCTCCTCCTGCTCCTTCCACTCCAGCTCCTGCTCCTGCCTGTCGTCCTCGGCCTCCTCCTTCCTCCTGCTCCCCAGCTTCATCCTCTTGCTCATCCTTTCTGCCCCTCCGCCACCTCCCCCAATGCGTGTGCAGCTCCCCTCTTCCGACTGCGCGCAACGCCATGGTGCCTTCAGCTGGCCGCCCGTGTGGCCGTGGGGCCCGCGGGCCCTCTGCCCCCCCGCCTCGTGGGGCCGCTGGCTCCGTGCGCGGCTCGCCCCGTCGCGGCTCTCTCTCTCTCTCTCTGCAGCGTTGTTCCCGCCATCGTTGCAGCTGTACCGCAGGCTCAGCTGGCGCTGAGGCAACAGAGCACTGAGCACGACTGTGCTTGGCGCGCTCGGGCGAGGGTCACCATCTCGACAGCTGGCGGGGCCTCCATCCTGGCAGCTGCTGGAGACCTTGAAGGCGAACGTGTGCGGCGCTGATGCGAGGGCCGCATGCTGAAACCGACCCGCCTTCTATCCGTGTAACTGCTGGAAGCTTTGCAGTCGAATGTGCGCGGCGCTCAGGGGAGAGTCGCATCTCGCACGTGGGCCGCGCTTCGTCCGTCCAGCCGCAGGGCGTGTCGAGCGTCAGGGTCACGAGTGGCGCGGAGGTCTTAGGCGAAACGCCTGACCCGTCCTGTCGGCACGTCATGTCGCGCGACCAGGGGGAGTTATTCCTAAGAAGGAGAGAAGGAGGAGAAGGAGGAGGAGGAGGAGACGGAGGAGGAGGAGGAGGAGGAGGAGGATGAACAGAAGGAGAAGGCGGAGTAGGATGAGGAGGATGAGGAGGATGAGGAGGAGGAGGAGGAGGAGGTGCAGGCGAGAGGAAGTGGAATTTGATCACGCAGGATGACGAGGGATATCGGAGGGAGAGAAGGAAGGTGAGGATGATCATGATGCTATTGATGATGACTTGGGTGATGATGATGCTGCTGCTGATGATGATGATGATGGTGGTGTAATGGTGGTAATGCTGCTGCTGCTGATGATGATGATGCTGATGCTGCTTCTGTTGATGATGCTGATGATGATGCTGATCCTGCTGACGCTGATGATGATGCTGCTGCTGCTGATGATGATGATGAGGTCGACGATAACGATGATGATGACGATCATGATAATGATGATGATGCTGCTGCTGATGATGATGATGCTGATGCTGATGATGATGCTGATGATGCTAATGCTGATGATTATGATGATGCTGCTGACGATGATGACGACGCTGCTGATGGTGAGGATGCTGATGCCTCTGCTGCTGATGATGACGACGATGCTCATGCTGATGATGCGGTTGACGATAATGCTGCTGCTGATGATGACAATGATGCTGCTGATGCTGATTCTGATGATGAGATGATTATGATGATGATGCTGCTGCTGATGATGATGATGATGATGATGATTAATATTCTTATGCTGATGCCGATGATGCTGATGATGATGACGATGTGCTGCTGCTGACGATGATGATGCTGCTGATGATGATGATGATGATGATGATGATGATGCCGCTGACGATGGCGATGATGATGCTGATGATGATGATGCTGCTGATGATGATGATGATGATGATGCTGATGATTCTGATGATGCTGCTGCTGATGATGTTTATGATGGTGACCAGGAGGAGGAGGAGGAGGAGGAGGAGGAGGGAGGAGGAGGAGGAGGAGGAGGAGGAGGAGGAGGAGGAGGAGGCGGAGTACGAACGAGGAAGAAGCGCCCCCTTGAAAGACCATCACTCCATGGGCCTTTTTTTCAAACGAGGCCCCAGTTGTGAGAAGGAATTGCCTTGCATCCGTCTAGCGGATAACAAGGAGTGCAACAATGTATGATCATGCAGTTCAGCGAATTCTCCAGCGATATCCTTGTATTGAGCACAGGACCGCCCCCAATCTGTGTACACCTTCACGCAAGTTTACACGCTACTGTTCGTAAACTGTGTGGAAGTCTTAACGAGAGCCCCATTTGAAAAAGAAACTGCCCTCCATCCGTGCAGCTGTTGCATCAGTTCAAGATTGTGGTGTTTTGATTCAAAGACTTCTGAAGCGATAGCCTTTGGAAAGGAACAACCCTCCATCCATGCAGCTGTTGCAAGCTTTGGAGACGAACGTGCACGTCGCTAATGCGAGAGCCCCACTTTGACAAGGAGCCGCCCGCCTTCTATACTTGTAATGATGGCAAATGTTCAAAACGAATGTGCGCGGTGCTAAGGCGAGAGCTCCATTCTGACCCCCCTCGTCCTCCATCCTTGTAAGCCGGGTGTGCGCGGCGCCCAGGCGTGAGTTCCATGTTCGAAAGCGACTTGCCAACCATCCCTGTAGCTCTTGCGCTCTTGTAAGACGAGTGTTCGCCGCGCTAAGGCGAGAACTCCATTTAAACAACCATCTGCCCTCCATCCTAGTAATTGTTGGGAATTCAAAGCTTCAGGATGAGCAGGATGAGAAGGAGGAGGAAGAGGAAGAGGAGGAGGAGGAGGAGGAGGAGGAGGAGGAGGAGGAGGAGAGAGGGAGAGGATAGGAGGAGGAAGAGGAGGAGGAGGAGGAGGAGGAGGAGGAGGAGGAGGAGGAGGAGGAGGAGGAGGAGGAGGAGGAGGAGAAGGAGGAGTGCCACTTTTGCGGTCCCCCTGCCAGGCGAACGGATGGACTCCGTGGGTCCAGGCTCGCCAGACGGGGTACTACAGGGACATGTGCCACGAGGGCTTCGAGTACCGCAGGAGCCGCGGGGGGTGATCGAAAGCAGCTGCGCCCTCCTCAGACTGCTCCTCTCCTCCCGCCCTCCTCCTCCCCTCCTCCTCCTCCCTCCTCCTCCTCCCTCCTCCTCCTCCTCCTCCTCCTCCTCCTCCTCCTCCTCCCCCCCTCCTCCGCAGCCATTTTGGCCCAATTTCACTCTGCACCACACTCGGCCACCTTCATACTGCAAAAGCTGCCTCTCTGCCCTGGCGGCCACCAGCCCGTCATGCTTCGACGGGCCGGCCTCTTGGGTGCGCTGCTCCTGGCCGTGAACGGCCTGCACCAGGAGTTCCAGCGGCAGCCCGTGGGGAGCAGGTTCGGCCAGGCGGGGCAGGAGCTGTCTGGCGCGGGCGCCGCCGAGGCGGACTGGCCGTGGCACTTTGGCGGCCACCACGCGGAGTCCAAGGCGCAGCAGCCCCTCGCCGACGCCGCGCCGACGGCGCCGGTGGCCGCGCCGGAGGCGGCGCCTCTGCACCGGGGCCGCCTGGCCGCCCTCGTGACCGGCTCGGTGGAGCGGCTGCTGCTCACACCGCTGCTCTCCAATGTCGTCCGTGCCAACGCAGAGAGGGGCCTCCAGGTGGACCTGTTCCTCAGCCTGCAGGCGCCCTCCAGCATTGTCCAGGCTGCCGCTGAGCTCGAGACGCCCGTCGACAATGCGACCAGCGACCCCAAGGTCGCGCAGCTGCTTCAGGGCGCCAGCGTGGACAATTTCAACAGCACCGTCATGGACCAGATCTGCTCGCTGGCCCTGGCGCAGCTCGCGTCGAGCTGCCAGTGGGACATCGAGGGTGGCGATCTGGGGCCAATCGACGGCGCCACCGAGAGTTCCATTTCGACCGACCGCGTCGCCGCGAGCGTCACCAGCGGCACCAGCCAGGCGGCCGTGGCGAGGTGGCGCTCGCGGTCCCGGCTGTGGAACCGGGCGCTTGCGAAGGAGGCGTCCCAGCGGAGGTACGCCGCGGTGCTGGTGGCCCCTGCGGACGGCCTGTGGATGGCTCCCCTGGTCGTGGACGTCAGTGAGTTCCAGGCGGATTCCATGAAGGTCTCGGTGATGTCCTGCTCCGACTCCGTCGCCGGTATCAGGGGAATGATTATGTCGGAGGCCGCCGTGATGGGCCGCGAGGCGGCGGGGGCGATGCTGCAGCTGTACCAGGTCAGCAGCACCGCCGAGGAGGTGGCCAGCTGGGTCGCCCGGGTGCGCAGCACGAACGTCGTGCCCGAGCCGAAGCCAGTGGCGCTGGCGACCTACACGCAGAGCGGGCTGCCCTGCTTCCGCAGGCAGTCGTTCAATTTGACCCTGACGGAGGGCCAGGCTGCCGTGTACCAGCAGTGCTTCGGCGAGCCCAGCTCCGCCGGGCCGCTGACGAGTTTTTTCAACACCTTCAGCTGCGAGGACATGAACCCTGCGTTCTATGGCGTCCTGTGGCCGCAGCAAGTGAAGAAGCTCCACGCGGCGATCGGTGAGCTGGCCGGCCGTCAGGAGAGAAAGCCGCTCGTCCTCACGGTGATCGACGAGGAGGAGGAGGACCTCGCATACCACATGATCAGGAGCCTGCAGGCGACCGGGGAGGCTGCGAACAGCCTCGTGGTCGGCACCGTCCCTGGCATATGCAGGGACATGGATGCGCTGTACGGCATCCCGAGCAAGAGGTGGTCGTGGGCGAAGCCGCACACCCTTAATATCCGCGACCCCGCCAGCGGGGCCCTTGGGCCGCGACCCCGCGGCTACGCGGCGTCTTTCTCGCGGATGCCACGCGCGGGGGCGCATCCATGCGACCGCATATCCGCCTGCTCGCGCCCCAGAGCCAAGGCCGCGAGGGCGCGGGTGCGGATGTGCTCGCCGCTCGCGAGGTGCGTCGTCGTGCAGCCGGCGCAGAGCGTGCGGCGGGGAGTCCTCAGGCACGCGATCCTGACGACCGCCGCGCTGGCCGGCCTCAGCGACCGGATCACGCTCGCGTCGCCGCGCGTGGCCTTCGCGGGGCCCGCGGGCGCCCAGCTGCGCGCAGAGGCGGCCAGCAGGCACGTGGTCTTCGCCAGGGGCGGCATGACGAGCAACGACACGGACGACTGTGGCGCTGCCGACGCCGGCCTCGACAGCGCCGTCGTCGCCGTCCCGGACGCGCCCGAGGTCACGAACCTTCTTCTCAGGGCGTGGGCGCGCATGGTCGAGAGCCCGGGCGTCTCGCAGCAGGCGGCCCTCGCGGGCGCCGTGGAGGAGAAGGCGGACGGGGTGGAGGCGATGCTGCTGTCCTGCAGCACGGCGAGGCTCCAGGAGACGGAGCGGGCGGAGAAGAGCGACGACGAGCTCCTGGCCGCCCTGGCGCCGGGGGAGAGGCCCCCCGCCCACCACAGGGCGAAGCGCTCCGCGGAGACCGAGGGCGCAGAGGTGGTCGAGGTGCAGCCGAAGCCGAAGCCCAAGGCCATGGCATCGCTCGGACGTGTGCATTTTTTCTCGGCGAGAACCATCGAGGACCATCCTGGACCATCGAGCAAAAAAGCACGCGCGAAACCGACAAATGCACGGGAAATGAACGTCCGAGCGACGGCAAGAGGCCGGGCACTGGGACCCGCTCGAGAAGAAGTGGATCCCCGCCGAGGGGGCGTCCAGGGTCCAGGAGCTGAAGGACATGTGGTCGAAGCGCATCGAGGAGATGCGGGAAGCGAACGGGTACAACGAGACGGAGGAGCGGGAGGCGGCCATCGCCAGGAGGATGGAGAGGAGGAAGAAGAAACACAACCGAACTGGGCTGCCCACCCGCAAGATCCGGTACCTGCCGCAGGCGGAGGTGGACAAGGTGAAGGCCAAGGACGACGCGTGGGCGGAGGCCCAGAGGAAGCAGATGGAGGACGACCTGGCCCACGCGGACGAGCGCAAAGAGGCGTTCAAAAGGGAGGTCGAGAAGCAGATGAAGATCATGGAGGGCGCGGGCAAGGACGACGAGGACGACGACGACTCCACGGACGACGGCGACCTGGGGGCGGAGTAGGCGGCTCTGCGGCCCCGAGCAGTGGCCAGCCGAGGCACCCTCCTCCCTTCGCTCCCCCCTTCGCTCCCCCCTCCCCTGCTCCCTCCTCCCTCGTCCTGGCGGCCCCCTCGAGGGGGTGGCGCAAGGAGGAGGGGGGGGGGGGCCTCTGGGAGGGCGGAGGGGCGGGGCGCTTCCCGGAGGGCAGGGGCCCTCGTGGGAGGCCCTGGCGGCTTCTGAGGGGGCCTCTCGGGGAGGCCTCTCTCGGAAGCCTCCATGGCCTTCCGAGATGGCCCCTGCCCTGAAGAAGCCCCCCCCCTTCCCAGAAGCGCCTTCTGGGGATGGCCCCTGCCTCCGAAGAAGCCCTCCCCCCCCCGCCTTCCCAGGAGCGCCTTCTGGGACGGCCCCTGCCTTCTGAGAGGCCCCCCGCCCTCCCAGAAGCCGCCCCCCCCCTCCCTCGCGCCCCCGCCCCCATTGCGGGTGCCGCCCCCTGCTTCCTCCACCCGGCGGCTCCCTCCGGCGTGGCATCGCTCGGACGTGTGCACCGTTCTCGGCGAGGCCGGCGCCGGACCATCGGGACCACCTTGAGGCACCACCTCGGGCCACGCCGAGAGGACGGGTGCGCGCGAAACCGCACGGTGCACGGGGGCTGGACGCCCGAGCGATGACAAGCTGACCACCGGCGGCGCGCCCGGGGGGAAGGCGAGAAGCGGCGGGCCTTACTGTAAGGCTCGAAGGGCCTCTGCCATGCCGGGAAGCCCCGCCCGCCTTCGAGCAGGCCTGCCCCCTCTCGCCTCCCCCCGGGCGCGCCGACAAGGCCGGGCCTTCGGGCCCTCGCCCCGCTCGGCCTCGCTCTCGGTGCCCCCACCCGGCTTACCCCTCCGCCGCCCCGCCCCGCGGCCCCGCCGCCCTCACGAGGGAGCCCGTCGCCAGACGGCAGCCCGCGAACTGGAGCAGAACGCCTCCGACTGGCTGTAAATCGGGCCTGTCCCTCCACAGGAGGGATGTGCCAAAATAGTAGAAAATAGCCTGGGGACGATTTTTTTGATGACGATTGCGAAGGCCTTACGGCCGATGCCGCCGACCCTGGAGACAGATTTCTGTCATTGGGGAGAAATAACAACGCAACAGGAAGAGTGCTCAGTGTGGGAGAAGCGCATTGCCGACGAGGGGGAGGGTGGTCGGCCCAAGAAAACACACGGAAATATGTTTGTAAACCAGACGAGCATGACGGAACGAGCGCTAGCGAGAGGATTTCGGCTCAAGGCTTTTGCCCAAATGTGGGGGGAGTCTGGGGGGGGGGGTGGACGAGGACAGGGTCGAAGAGGAGGGAATACCCGGTTGTTTTGTAACTTCCTAGTTTGTTTTGTGGCTTCCGAGGAGAGTTTTTGGGGCCTCTCGGGAGCCTCTTGGGGCCTCTGTGGGCTTCTGGAGGGCCTCTTGGGAGCTTCTCGGGGGCTGAGGGCTCGAACTGTCCGTTCGGGTCCCCCATCTGGGCGCTCTCTTGGAACCGTTTTGGGGGCCTTTTGTGAATCTGGGAGGCGTCTTGGGCCGTCTTGGGGCACTTTTGGGCCGTTTGGGGACCCTCTCGGAGGCCTCTTGGGCCGTGTCGGGGCGATCTTGGGAGCCTCTTGGGCCGTCTTGGCGCGTGGGGAAGCGGAAGAGGCGAGAACGCCAAAATCCTTGAAAAACGCATGGGAAATCCATGATTTGTGCCTCTTGGGGCTCTCGTGGGAAGGGTCCTGGAGGCCTTTTGGGGCGTCTCGCAGGCCTTTTGGGCCGTCTGGAGGCCGTCAAGGCGTCTTGAACAGATCATTCGGCGATTCGGCGCCCTCTTGGATCATCTTGGGGGCCTCTTGGAGCACTCTTGGCCGGTCTTGGGGCCTTTTTGGGCTTGGGGATTCCCCGGGAGGGCGGCGTATAAACCTGGGACCCCCCCCGGAAGCTACCCCGGGACCCCCCCCCCCTTCCCCGGGAAGGGATCAAAGGGAAGGGGCTTCCCTTCGACTCAAGTACGGCGCTCTTCAATCTCGCCTTGGACTGGCGCGCCTCAGAACGAGGCCTTGGGAGAGGGATAGAAGCAACGACGCTGTGGGGAAAGAAGAAGGAACATCGACGACGACGAAGAGGGAGCAGACGGAGAAGCCTCTTCCACACGCCGACAGGGTCGGCGGATTTTGGAATATTTTTATTTGTTTGTTTGTTTGTTTGTTTGTTTGTTTTCTGTTTTATTAGTTTTGTCGTCGAGAATCGGCCTGTAGGGGGACATGCCCGACCTAAGACCATGGAGCCCCTTGTGAGACGCAAGCGCCCAGCTTTCGCGCCGAAGGGGCCGCCGAAGTCCGCGGGAGACCGTCGCAGACCGCGGAAGACACCGCCGAAGGCCGCCGGAAGACCGCCGAAAACCGCCAGAAGCCCGCCGAAGACTGCCGAAGGCCGCCTGAGGCAGATGTCATGGTGCCCAGCATCGCAGAGCGGGTTTCGTTCCAAAAACAGTGGGATGGGCCTGGAGTGTCCTGGAGAGTTCTGTGCCGGATTTCGAGGCGAGTTTCGTGCGGATTTGCAGCGGCCAGGAGTGAAGACGAAACAGGAATCCGCGCGAAATTCACTTCGTTTTTCACTCGCCGTTTCGGGGTTTTGCAGTGGCAGAAATCCGCGCAAAGATCCGCTGCAGCTCGCCTGCAAAGTCGGTGCAGTGACAGATGGGTGACAAGGGGTCCATGGTCGAATGCGTAACGCTCTGTGTGGTCCTTCATGGGCGCTCAGAGGGTCCCAGCATTCCTTGCGGTTTTGGGGAACTCCAGATCTCGCCGGATTCGGTCGACACCCAGACGACGCCTGGACGGAATCTGGGCGAAAGTGTTAAGAGGGGTGGTCGAAATCTGGGCGACATCTGGTCGAGATCACGTATATGATAGGGCCGCGGAGATCAACCGAGGCTCCCAGGAAGGCTCACCCGGCCTTATTCCTCCGCGCTTCGCTCCGGCTACTCCGAGTCTCCTGCTGGCGGCGCCCACAAGGGGGCGGAGCTCCTCTCCTCAGAAGGCGGCGGGGCTTTCTCACCATCCACAGTGCCAAAAATAGTCTTCTGGACCTATAGACCTATCTGGACTGCCTGAAACGTCGACAGGAATTTGGACGTCAAGGTTCTGGTGCTACTTTTTCCGCCCTCTGGAAGGTCAGGGCCGGAAGCCCGCCCAGCTTCTCACAGTCGGCCACGCGCCAAGGGGAGTAGGGGGAGGGGGGCAGGCGTCTTAGACGCACCCCTGCTTCTCAGAAGGCGCGGGCCTGGTCGGTAGATGCGAGGCCAGCGCCTTCTAAGAAGCAGCCTCTTTCTCAGAAGCCTTCCCCCCTCCTCCTGCGCCCCCTTGTGCGCGCCGGCCTCTCACAGGCCCTCTCGGAAGCCTCCCTGGGCCTCTGAGAGGGCCCCTGCCTGCTCCAGAGGCCCCTCCGCCTCCTTGACAGGGCCGCCCCCGTCACGCCCGCCACCCCCTCGTAGGCGCCGCCAGTCTTGACGAGCTCAGGAGGGGCCCAGCGCTCGGCCTGCGCGCTCGGACCCAGCATCCCCCCCCCGCTGCCCCCCCCCCCGCCCCCCAGAGCCGCGCTGCCGGAGCCGCTCTTGCTCGGGGCCCCTGCGTGCAGCCGAGCGCTCCGTGCTCCTCCCTCGCCCCTTGCCCAGCCCTCCCCGGCGTCGTCGTCGTCGTCGTCGTCGTCGTCGTCGTCTTCGTCGTCGTCGTCGTTGTCGTCGTCGTCGTCGTCGTCGTCGTCGTCGTCGTCATTGTCGTCTTCGTCGTCGTCGTCGTCGTCGTCGTCGTCGTCGTCGACGGCGTCGTCGTCGCCGCCGTCGTCGCCGTCGTGATCGTTATCGTCGTCGCCGTGCCCAGCCCTCCCCGGCGTCGTGATCTCTTCACATCATGGCCCCCCAGAGGTCTGGGCTCCTTTTGCAGGGACCCGCTTTTCGTCCTGGGTTGCCTTTTCACGGTCCCGGGGCCCAGCGAGGGCCCCCCCCCAGAGGCCGAAAGCGGCCAAGAGCCAGCCGTCGTGATTCATTGGCTTACTTACGTCGCGTCGCCGACCCCGTGGGAGCCTGGGATGCCTCTCGTCCGGGGGGCGTAGTCGCAGAAGTGTCTTGGCCTCGTGCGTGCATCTGCGAAGTGCAAGCCGCGCTCAAACGGGGTCCTCCTCCTCCTCCTCCTTCTCCTCCCTGCTTTCCTCTACTGTCTATTCTCGGATCGTCTTGTCCTTCCCGTGTCCGCCCTTCCTTTGCTGGCCCGTGTCGCTCCTCCTCCTCCTCCTCCTCCTCCTCCTCATCCTCCTAATCGGGCTCGGGCTGGTGGCACCAGAGTCCTCCAATCGACGCAGGCCCACCCCCCCCAAGACCAAGGGAGCTGCACCGAAAAAGACGGTGACCACGAGCGCGGAGGGCCCCCAGGGGGCGGAGTGGCTATGTCCTTTTAATCCTCCTCCTCCTCCTCCTTCTCCTCCTCCTTCTCCTCCTCCTCCTCTTCCTCCTCCTCCTCCTCCCGTTCCCTTCCTCCCTCCCTCCCCCGCTCCCTCCCTCCTCCCTCCCTCCCCCCCTCCCTCCCTCCCTCCCTCCCACGCCTCCCTCCCTCTCTCCCTTCCTCCCCTCCCCTCCCTCGCTCCCTCCCCTTGCCGCCGGTCCTGTCCTCCCCTCCCCCCTTTTCTTGGGCGTGCCTGCGAGGCGCGCGCGCGGGCGCGAGGCGCCAGGGCGGGCCGCGGCGGCGGCCTCGCGCCTGCTGGGCTGGCAGGTGCAGCAGCCCAGCAGCGAGCACGCCAGAAAGAATTCAGCAGCCCCTGCCTTCCGGGATGGCCCCTGCCTTCCAGGATGGCTCTAGCCTTCTAGGATGGAGGATGAGGAGGAGGAGGAGGAGGAGGAGGAGGAGGAGGAGGAGGAGGAGGAGGAGGAGGAGGAGGCTCCTGCCTTCTAAGAAGCCCCCCCCCGCCTTCCCAGAAGCCCGCCCCCCTCGCGCCGCCCCCTGGTGGGCGCCGCCCGCTCCTTCCTCCGCCCAGCAGCCCTCCTCCTCGGCATCGCTCGGACGTGCGCGTCTTTCTCGGCGAGGCCAGCGCCAGCGTGCCTGGACCGTCTCGGAGAGTCCTGGAGCGTCTGGAGAAGGAAAGCACCCGTGAGGCCAGACACTGCAAGGGGAATAGGCGTCAGAGCGATGGCAGGCCTCCCCCCTCTCCGCTCCGCAACCTGCCCCCTCCCGCCGAGAGCCGAGAGCTCCGCGGGGTGGGGGGGAGGGACGAGTCGCGCCACTCCCGCCGCTCGCTGCGGGCCGCGGGTGTTCTCTCGCGTTTCGCCCGCTCGGCGCCCTCGGAGCAGGCAAGCTGTAGG